TGAGATCAGATGACCTCTCTGTTATTTTTCAGGGTATATAATTCACTGTTGCTTTTACATTCATTCTGATCTGATGCCATTTCACGTTCATTTGGCTTTGGTGCTCTGCAAAAATGCTTAGGTGCTGTGCCTAAGCCTTTCTATGGCAGGGAAAATTCTGATTATATTTATTAACAATTCAATGTAAGTAACAAAACACTTTACTTCTTTAAAGGGGCAGTCAGTGAAAAGAGGTGAAGGAGCTCTTTAAAGCCTGATAAAATACCCCTGATGATTTCATTGTGATGCCATCAGGGTTATGTCTGTCTGGATTTGGAAATGACATATCAGTTAGCCAATGCTGATACAGCTGAACTTATGCTTGTGATTTCATGCAGACACTTCATGGTAACAAACACAAGTGTGCTGGCTCTTATGTGAACTGACTTTCTCAGCACTGTATGCCACCACTTTGATACAGCCCACTGGATATGTTACTGTTATAATACATAGAACACTACACTGTTCTGTACCTCATGTAAGACACACATAGCTGTGTCAGAACCATGTGACAGAGAGGAAAGAAAGTGGCACCTGTATGTTTCTGAGGATTACAGAAAACATCAGCTCAATGAAGCTGCTACACTCACATTTCCAATAGCCAGAAGTGCTTTGTCAAAGAACAGGATCATCCCGAAGAAGAGGAAAAACACACCGAAGCCCGTTAATCCCATCCCAATCTCTGCAGGACACACACACACAGTAGAGAAATGAAAAATTATTCCTGTCAGGTTTGTCACTTAATTCTTATAATAAAATATACAGCTGGATACATGTAGTTAATGATTTATTACCATTTGTTCACTCAAGACCATTTGACACAGATTGAAATAATCAAAAAAGTGAGATTTAGATTATTATACGTGAACAAGTCAACCAAACATTCTCGGCAGAAGTATGTGCTACAGATTATGCATTTTATTTCAAGAAATGTTTCAGGCCAAGATTACAATCTGTTTTCATGTAGATAAATACAGGACACAGCGACTCATCCAGGTTATAATTTGTTCCTGGACATATTCAAACTAATTAGCTGAACGGTTTCGAGAGTTTGAGTGTATAGAAGTAGCCAATTTGTAGATATAAAAAAAGTAAACAATTAATGTGGGGATACTTCTAATAAGATGTAACACTGTGACACTGGAAATAGTCATTTCACTGGCTCCTCATTGGAGCCGACTGGATCTAGTCAAGGCGTCTGAAATAACTTATGGAAATAACGCTACAACAGAAATATACGTTACAGTTAACTCATACATAACAGTAGCTGGTTAGGTTTGTAGTAGAAAATAACTGTTCGCCATATGGGCCACGCTGTGTGCTATGCAACGATAGAAAAATTATAGCTAACTTTCCTCGCATTTAGCAACTAATTGCTAGTTAGCCAACTGCTGTAGCTCAAATGAAGCCGGTTTCATGGAGATTGTAGCAACCTGCAGAAATGTTCAAATAACAAAGGTCTTACTTTGGGAATCCGTTAGCGAAATCATCTTGACGCCGAATAAGCTGGCAAAGATAAAACAGATACAGATAAAACCTTATAGTAGATATTCGACTCCTTCTCTTGGAATAATGTGGATGACAGCTGCCACTACAGCAACAGCCACGTCTTCCGGAAACACACCTTCTCGCGATGTCATCTTCCGGAAGCGAACTGTGCCACATTCAAAGCATCAACTTCAACAGCGTCGTTCTTTACTGTCATAGTTAATATTCTTATCATCTGCAGTAGAGCCAGTGTAGAGTACAGCAAAGCAACTCTACTGATGAAAAAGAACAATAATATTTATTGACAAAGGGGAACATTACGACTTTCCATAAGTGTTTGTTTCTTGAATGCATCACACGGAGTTGCACTGGGAATTTTTGTAGTGTTTATGCTCTATCAGGTACGGCTGATCGGAACTTGAAATGACAGGATTTTTTTGCTCTAATCCAGATCTCCTATGATATGTATTAATCATCAATTGTATAAACTTTAATCGCGAAATAATTTAAAAGTAGGGCAAGGATGATAAAAGTGTGGCAGTATTCGAGCAAGACGTGGAATTTGTACGCAGCCTGGCAAGCAAAATGCAGGGCATATCATTACAACAATTTTAACCCCTGCCAAGAAGCGTCTTTTATTTTTTCTACCGGCGCGGTTTGCCTATAGCAACCGTGAAGTGGGTTCAGCAACAAGAGAAGCCCTCCCTGGACCGAGTTACTGAATGGTCAGTGAGTTGTGTTTGATTCTTTTTTTAAAGGTGTGTTCGAGGCGTGCACTAAATTGGCTCACGAATGTCCTGTTTGTTGCACAGTTTGTTTGTTTTTGCTAGAAAACAAGGCAGTGACAGAATGAGAGGTTGCTTCTCTAAATAAGATGCTTGCTCTAAATTTCCTGGTTTGGTTACAATATTGAGCTACAAGCTAAAAGCTAACAGTAAGCTGCTGCTCCCTGTGTGAGGAAGCAGGTGCAACATCGTTGAGTTTCCACTGAGTTAGCTTACATTAATGTGCATTCTATGTGGCTGGATGTTAATAGGACAAAATTAGCCTCTTAACGTTACTTTGTAGCCACAGTTTATGTTAGGTAAGTAGAAGTGCTCTGAAAACATAGTAGCTTCTGTTAAATTCGTTCTGGGGTGAACTTGTAGAGTTGGAAAATTAGGATAGCAATGTTCCACTAAGACTAATAATTTTAGTCATATATTCTAAATAAACTATAGCATAAATATTGTACATTTTCTTTTAATAAACAAATTATTGAATGTAAAGCACACAAATAGGCAGAATTTGTGTATTTGCTCACATGAAAAAATAATAAAATTATATGAGCACTATGGATAAAAGCATAGTCCGATAAGTGAAAAAATAGTATGAATCATAATAATAATAGGCTACATGATATACAATTAATTTCTACAGGATTGTCAGAAGAACAGCATTTGAGAAATAGGAAATTAAACAATAGTTTTGTCTTACAGTTTATCAAATCAACATTTCTGACAGTCCGGAGGTCAGCTCCCTTCTGCGCACATCAGTCTGAGGAACATGGATGGTGGTAGTGGAATTAACGGTGAGTCTTTCAGCCAAAACCCCAATACACACACTGTTATTTAATGCTATTAGATATTTAGATAGATGGGTAGATAGAGTACCTTATAAATCCATATGGGGAATAAGAGGATTTAATCACTGAACTGTTTTTGTCAGTTTTTTTTTTTGAATGAGAAATGAGCTTAACCTAATGAAAACCAAACAGTGCTATGATGTAAACTGCCACAGGTGATCCTGCAGTTGTTTTGTATTTAAGAGAATGTTGACATCATGGGTAAAAACAGCAGACAACGGTGCCACAGTCCCAAAGGGACACTGGGGGAGGTACAAAGAGAAAGAGATCATTAGCTGTAAAGGTGTGAGCCTCAGAGGATGTGTACCTGTAAATGTGTGAGACCTGGCAGTCTCACACTAGCTGCATAAAATCAGTGAGAGAACCTGCTGCATGTGATTTAATGTAATGCTTGATACTAGGATTGGGTACTGGGGCCTTGCAGTTGAGGTCACAGTTTCTAACAGTCACCATACTGGCACTAAAGGCTATTCTTGGGCATGCTAGCATGAAACTGCTGAAAGTAAAGTGAAGTTTCCACTGTTAGACTCCTATTGTGTTAAAAATGTCAAAAGAAATTCAAACCTATATTTAAGGTGTGCCGTATATCCACACTGGAACAACAAGCTAAATGTGGTGTTTAAATTGAAACACATATGCTACAATTGTTGTGTGTGTTGCCCTGCACGCTGCAATGCATGGAGGAGAGGTGCTGAACACAATTGTAAAATATCATCCCTCCCAATGAGAACCAGTAGGCTGTCTCAAAAAGAACCAATAAAACAACTAAAAAGCATTCGTTGAAGTGGAACAGAGTGTTTGCTTCATGGCTATTTTGGCAAAAAACAGTTTGTTAGGAGCAATAGCTTTGAAGTCATCTTGATATGACAACAGACACTTTGTCCCGTATTTATAGAAAGGTACAAGATCTTAATTTTTTACATAATAACAAATAAATTATGAAGTGCAGTGCCGTCTGTAGTAAAGTGTTAGCATAGAGTTAAGACGCATTATTGCCTCAGGGTTAATGCTAAAAAAGCTTGGGTAACAGCCTATAAAATTGAAATCGATAAAAAAAAGGTAGGATTTTTCAGTTTGTTTCTGTAGAATGAGAATCACATCAGTAATGGGTAGCACTCCTGGATTCAAGAATTTAAGCAGTCAGAGGAAGCTCTTCTACTAGAGGGTGTTTCTGTCACTTGTAAGACCCTGTAAGAGACAGCAGCTAACTGGTTAACTTAGTTGATTCTGCTGACAGTATTCCTGGTGTTTGTTCCTCTACAGATGTGCAGACAGAGCTGGACTCGGTGGAGGCTGAGCTGGAGCTGGTGCAGCTGCAGATTACAGAGCTCTTACAGAAGCAAGCTGAGCTAACTTCTCATAAGAATGCACTGTTGCAGCGACTGGAAGAGGCCTGTGACTCTGCACAGCCATCGTCCTCCTCATCCTCATCTTCCTCAAAGTCATCTGGAGCAGATCCTGTAATGAGCAAGCAGGAGATGCAGTGCTATGATGGCACAGGTATTGTTCATATATGGCTCCACAATTAGAGTCGGTCGGGTTTGTGTTTTGACCTGCATTAATCTCTTTATTTTTGGTAGATTTCCCATGGTCAAGAGAAGTAGAGCAGCACCTGAACGACTTGTTCCATTTATCCAAGTTCCGACCACTGCAGCTAAGGGCCATCAACCTGACCCTGTCGGGCGAAGATCTCTTTCTGGTGATGCCTACAGGAGGAGGAAAAAGCCTCTGCTACCAGCTGTCTGCAGTCTGCTCCAAAGGTACATTGAGACACACACAGAGTATTGGAGCCAAAGCCCTGTCCTCTTGATCACACATCACATTCACATTTCCTAAGAGAAACCCTGAGGGCTGACATAATTATTTATCATTCTGTCCTACTGTAATCACATGTACATCTGTGTGTGTGTGTGTGTTAGGTTTTACACTGGTTATCAGTCCCTTGGTGTCCCTGATGGAGGACCAGATCATGTACCTGAGATCGATCAATTTACCAGCAGTGACGCTGAATGCATCCAGTAGCAAGGTAACATCTTTCAGTTAGTTTATCTCTTCTTATTCTGATAAGCGACAAACTGCACAGACTTCTAGGGCTGCACTCTGACAGCTGGTAAGCGGATGCATCGGGTGAGGAGACTCTGAGATGACTCGCTGCAATACTACTTCTTTTTAGCTGTGTCATTGAACACAGGAGTAATGCAGGAACAGCATGACAGGCTGTAAACCATCTCAAAATGGCCACAAAACCACTCTAATCACAAAACTAACTGCAACAAAAACATAGATGGGTAATCACAACTTCTGAATCAGAAGCAGGTCCAACTTCCTGCACTGTCTGTTCTCTATCTTCCTGAACATATGTGTATCAAAACTTGTCGAAGAGTCACTTGTCTGTCTGTTTTTGGTATCATGGCTTAGTAGTAGGCCCTACAAAATGAGTAACCAAGGGACTCATGATTTAGAAGTGTTGTTTGACAAGGCAAAGTTATGTTCATTGTATCTAATACGGTGAAACTCAAGTACAAACCAAGTGGCAACCTCAGAGCCTGAAAAATGAAACCAGTGTGGAAGTATTAAAAGTGTTTCTCTAGCTCTCTAGCATGCTCCATTCATGCTGCAACTCTTTATACATTTTTGGATTAGCTGGAGTTAGGTGTAGTGAAGTGCTGCCAAGATGGCGAAGGCCAGACTTGAGCAAGT